GACACAGTCAATAAAGATGTATCACACATTAACAATCACATATTTCATATACTTTCTCCTTGGTCACAAGGTGATATTTTTGGCATTTTTATTGTCACTTTCAAGCAACGCAATAAACAGTGCCATCTAGTGATTAAATAACTAATGCATCTATAAAACTGACGCTTTATATTTAGATCTAGAGTAACTGTTATAATATTAATCTTTTTTTAGAGTAACACGTTGCATTACTAAGTAGTTTTGCACGTTACACTTCACCAACGTAATTTCGTTTACGTTGTAACAAGCAGATTGCTACTATAAATAATGTCTGTTGTATCCAAGTGGCCTGAAGAGCCTTGGTATTGGATGTAAGGCCTAATCAGGACTAAACATTTCTTTACTTTTACTTAGAAGTCCTTAATAATTTCTACACATAAAAATTACTAAATGTTCTCTAACTACAGTACTGTGCAAAAACAAAAGTGTTAGGACATTTTGTCATTCTTTCAATTTTATGTGGCTAATACTTTTCATGCCATTACAGAACGTAAATTTCAACACTATGATAATGCTTTACTGATCCCTGCTGACAACTGAATGATCCAGGGTGAGAATACTTATCATTCTTTAGAATTCCCATATATTTGTACCAAGGGCATGTCATAAGGGTTCTGCTTGAATGAACGTGCTGGTCAAAAAATAGGGCCTAAAATAACTTTCATGGTACCCCATGCAGTGTCTTAACTATATTGAAAGAAGCTAGCATATGGTACTGATATATGCCAGAAGAAATCAATTTAATAGCACTCCACAAATAAACCTTGATAAAAACAGTGTTTAACATTATATATTAAGTTTTGTTGTCATGTCACAATCCCAAAATTGTAGAGAATTGTCAGTAGAGTAGAGAGTTTGCATAAAAGCTTTACGTGATGCTGGTTGGACTCTCAGACAAATTGCTACAGACTTGAAATGATCCCCAAACACTGTCAGGTACACCCTAGATTGTGAGAATAAGACAGGTAAATTTGAAAATAGGAGGCAGAACTCAATGATGCTGATGTTAATTATCTTCGTTTATACTGCCATTGATTTGAAGCACGAGGTAAACAACCATGTAACAAATGACAGAGAAGTGTCCAGATCTACAGTATCAAGAAGACTCGACAAGAATGGAATATTTGGTCGTGTAGCTGTTAAACAACCTTTACTTCGATCTCCAAATATTGTCAAAAGACTGAAACTTGCTAAAAAATACAAAAACTGAACTGTTGATGATTGAAAAATGGTGTTATTGACGGATGAGTCCAAGTTTGAAATATTTGGTTCAAAGCGTAGGTTATACATCCGGCAGAAGAAAGGTGAAAGATACTTACATCAATGCATAGCATCTACCATGAAGCATGGGGAAGGCAGTGTAATGGTTTGGGAGTGTTTTTCTGTTGAGGCAACAGGAGATATTTGCAATATAGACGGAATAATGGACCAGTGCAAGTACCATCAGATACTGATCCATCATGGTATATCCAGTGGTTTGCGTATTATTGGTAAAGGATTCTACTACCAAGAAGATAATGACCCCAAACACTCTTCCAACCTATGATGAAATTACTTAGCTAAGAAAGAAGCTGCTGGAGTTATTCAAGTCTCAACCTAATTGAGCAGATCTGGGATTTGATAGATCAAAATTTGACAACTCAAAAGTTACTTCCAAAAGAACTTTGTGGGAGGGTATTAGAGACATTTGGAGTAAAATTCCAAAGGACACTTTGATTAAATATATTGCAACAATGCCTGAAGGACTGTCTGCAGTTATTAAACCAAAAGGGGAACACACAAAATATTAACTGTTTGCTGGATTCAAGCACTTTCACTGAGTTTTTGTTGTACTAATCATGAAGATTAATAAAA